GATGCATTCGCATAATATTTGGTCGGTAGATTTCTATCTTTCATTTTCGAAGTTTGTACCTTATTTTGGCTATGTTGATATTACATGTAACAATTTTCAAACAAAATTTCTTAATTGTTAATAATAATAATAATAATATAATCCAGTTAAAAGGTGCTGACCAACGCTAATGCGCTTGGTTCATTTGAGGTTTTTCATGTTCAAGTTTTCTGACCATTATACTTATAAACCGAAGCTCAACGCTTAAATTATAGAGTGTAGACAAGGATCAAAATAAAAATCAGCATGCAATAACGAAATGTGGTAAACCTTTTCCAGTCAGTAGGTAGCCGAGACAACCCAAAGTACTAACTATGGTCGACAAAGTGCTTCATTTAAGATGAATCTGGCGAGAAGAAGGAAACTTTTATTACAATTCTGAACGAGAGGACTGAAAGTCCCTGCTTGTATTTACCCAGAAAGTGAATGAAGAACGATTACGCCATCTACTCCGAACAGAAAGTAGCGCTTGATGTTGATGCAGAAACCGGAGCACTGGCATAATTAAAACAAGTAATTTTTTTATGACTTCTGAAAAGTTTTAGCACAAAGAGTTATAAGACGCAACTTACTTTAACGCAGAAAAATATCGACACCGGAAACGTTAACGCAAATAAAAGCCACGACAGGGTGATTAACATCCAACCGCAAAATCCAACACCTTCTTCATAGTTCTCTACTGAAATGAAACAGATGTACAGTAAAAAATAATGTACACTTTCGAAATAAACTGCGGCTGTTAGTAAACTAAACGTTCTGCCTTGATTGCACCATAAATATCTCCAAACGACTTCACGAATAAATGTCAGAAGGGAGAAAACTAAGAAACTGAAAGTGAGTTTCGAGCGAAAAAGCATACCACTGATCAACTAACCTTTCCAATTCATTGATTATGAATGATAATACTTGACAATATTTCAAACAGTCATTCATACCAGAATGAAAGCTCAGCTTTCTCAAATTACTAGTGAAACTTCAGCTTACGTCAGGGAAGCTTCTCTTTCAATTAAAGGAATTTCAACCCTTTAATGATATTGCGAATCGACAAGCAGAACTGAGGCTTACCGCAATGCAGTGGTAGTTAACTTCCTGGCTGCTAAGCTATAAACAGGTACTAGTGTTAAACTTTATTTGCAGCTTATTTAAAGCCAATTTTGCCATGCGCATCGTGAAGGACAGGCAACGATCCATCAAAGGGATAAGTAAAACAACGGACTGTTGAACGTATTATCCTCAGCCACAGAGGTAACCATTAAGGTTCGTCGCGAAATCAGCAGTGGTCATAAACTAGGTCCTGACCAAGACAGGTGAGTTTATGTCCTTTTTCCATGCTTCGATGTCTATTCAGCATGACCTGTAGCAGAAATTTGTCCAGAGAAATTTGTTACGGTAACGGGCTGATTTTAGGTCAACAACTGTGTCGTTCGTTGGCACAGGGCGATGCTGCTCGAGTGTAACAGCGACGTGTCGCAAGTAAATGACTGAACAAGAAAC